TGCCCAAGATCCCGAGAGAATGGGGGAGAAGGGATTGCGGTGTGGCCATCCCCCCTGGTGGGTGATTTCTCACTTTCTGTCTCTCTCTGTCTCTGTTTGGCTAGTGCACGCACCCTATAGCAAAAACCTCTCCAAAAAAAAAAAAAAAAAGAGTTTTGAAACCAGAAGGGCTGGCCTACATGGCAACTGTGCAATTTGGATCCTGGCTCTGGTGTCCTGAAAATCACTCCAGATGCGTGAACATGTGTGCCCCAAGTCCTGACCTAATGGGGAAATGTAGAGGGCATTGCAGGGTGACCACGTCCCATTGGGCCCTCTCCTTGTCTCTGTCTCACGAGGGTATGTGTCCTCTGGCCAATTAAAAGAACAACCTGTTTATAAGCAGGAGAGCCAGATGGACTGGCAGAAGTTTGGCTGCCCACAGTTGGCAGGGTTGGTGCTCAGATCCCTCTGGTCCACACTCCCCTGCCCAGGGCCACCACCACAGCACCACCCACCACACAGGCCCCCGTCTTTGGCCAGTGCAGCTCATTCTCCCTCTGTGACCTCTCCCGGGCTCAGCCCATGAGGATGGAGGGGAACATGTCTGTCCTAGTAGCCCCTGTCCCCAAGAAGCTGGCCACCGTGGTCTGCAATACTCTCCTTGGTAACAGCTGGCTGTGGGTGCCAGGTGTGCAGTCAGGCCCTTCCAAGGACTGGAGGGACCCCCTTCTGCACTTTGCACAGGCCCAGCCACGGTCAGGGAGGGTGTCGAAACACGGAGAGCCTCTCGTATGCTCCATGCACCTTGGGCCCTCAGAGGGGCTCTATTTGGATGGGAGACCCTTTCCATTGCTGCCCTCTCCCTTTCAGACATGGTCACCCTGGACTCTGGGCTCCCCTTGCCAGCAGTGGCTGCCCAGGGCTTAGCCCTGGTCCCTGACTGAAGGCCTCACTGGGGAGAGCCTTGGCTCTCTGTGAGTCCTTGGTCTGCAAATCTGGTGCCATCACGGACCTAACGGGTCCTAACCGGTTCTGCCCACCTCTCTCCCCAGCTCAGCTTGGGCAGCCTTCCCTGTGCCACTGATGGCAAGGCTCTCCCACCTGGATTTTCTGGCCCTCAGATCCATTCCCACGTGGGGAGGAAAACAGGCTTGGACCCTGGCTCTGAAGCAGGGCTGCCACCGTGGGGTCACAGCAGCCTCTCAGGCAGTCTCCGCGGTCGGTGCCTCTGGGCCCCAGGTTGGTGCAAACTGGCAGACTCCGGTAAGGATGTAAAGTGTCCTCTGCAGAGTTGGCGGCTTCCTGTGTGGATGCTGGGGAGGAGATAAGTGTGATGCTTGGTGGTGCCAACTTCCAGGTGCCCTTAAGCAAGTCCTGGCCCTCTCCGCATCCCCAGTCCTTGTCTGCAAGTTGAGGAAACTCCAGTTCCCCTGACAGTGCCTGGCCTGTGGTGCCTGGCCTGGAGACACTTGGGGCGGTGTGCTGCGTGGCGCCAGATTTAAGTCACTTCCTGTCATGCCTCCTGGCCATCCGTCCCACGGCCAGGCCCCGCTCTCTTGCTGTCAGGCGGGTAGACTGGCCAGGAAACTGTCATGGGTGGCAAGGGAGGAGTGTCGCCCTAGGACGGAGTCCAGGGCCGGGTCGGCCTCCCAGGTGAAAATTGTAAGGACGAAGGAACCGCCGAAACGTAGTTACTGTCGGAACTCCCGGCTGTCCCCTTAGGGCGCCCAGCGAGGCACCTGGTCCGCACCCCCGCCGGCGAGCTCGAGCCGGCGCGCTGCATCTCGGGAGTTGCCGTTTTTCTCCCGAGGGATGGAGGCGGGGCTGAGGGCGAGGCCTCTCTCAGGGGGCGCGGCTATTGGATGACGGCTGGGGCGCGCACCGCCCAGTCTTTGCACACCGCCCTCTCCGCTTGTTAACGTCGCGGTGGGCTCTGCCCCGGTGCGCCTCAGCGATTGGTGGTAGGGCGGGGCCTAGGTGCGCGGCTGCCCGCGGATTGGCAGGCGTGGGGGGGGGGGGGGG